CATAGCTTTTCCTTCAGGTCAAAATGTTACAAACATAAATTTGTTTGAGACAAAGAAGAAAAGGGAGGTGGAAACGGAATAAAACTCCCAGGTGGTAGTGTGCATAGCCATTAAAAATTAAGAGCAATTGAAGTGCCAATCCTAGAGAGAACAAAGGGTTCACATACAGCCCCGGTTCACATCCTCTCTTTTCCCCAAACTGCAAGAGCCATGGCTAGGCCACAGCAAACTCATCTGCTTCCCAAGTGTGATGTTGGGGCCACACCTTGGGTCCTGGAGTTGGTCAATGTGGTTTAAATCCCGATTCTTTCATTCACCAGGCACCTGATTCTGAGAAACATTTTGTGCACCTCGTATTTCTGAGTTTACCCTCCACAAAGTGAAGGTGCCGGCACTTACCTCTAAGGCATTTGTGAGAACAAATGAGACAACAGAGTCACCAGCAGACAGTTAGAATTTGGTAGACCTGTAGTTTGTTTGTATTTTTGTTTTTCATTTTACATGCCAATTCCAGTTTCCCTCCCTCCCCTCCTCCTGCTCCCCTCTTCCTCTCACCTAAACCCCCATCTACTCATCAGAAAGGGTGAGGCTTCCCATTGGGAGGTCAAGTCTGACATATCAAGCTGAAGCAGAACCAAGTCCTCTACCCCTGTATGGAGGTTGAGCAAGGTATCCCTTCACAGGGAATGGGCTCCAAAAAACCAGTTCAAGCACTAGGGATAAATTCTGGTCCCACTGCCAGTGATCTCACAGACTATCCAAGTCACACAACCGTCACCCACATTCAGAGGGCCTAGTTTGGTTCTATGTACGTTCCCCAGCTGTCAGTTCAGAGTCAATAATTTCCCACTAGCTCGGGTCAGCTGTTTCTGTGGGTTTCCCCAGGTCTTGATCCCTTTGCTCTTATAATCCCTTCTCTGTCTCTCTTTGACTGGACCCTGGGAGCTTAGCCCAGTGCTTAGCTGTGACTCACTGCATCTGCTTCCATCAGTTACTGGATGAAGGTTCTATGATGACAATACAGGTAGTCATCAATCTGAATACATGAGAAGGCCAGTTCAGGCTTCCTCTCCACTATTGCTTGGAGTCTTAGTTGGGATTCCTGGGAATGTCCCTAGCACCAAGTTTCTCCTTAACCCCATAATGGCTTCCTCTATCAAGATATCTTTCCTTGCTTTCCCTCTCTGTCCCTCCTCCAACTCAACCACCCTGTTCCCTCATGTTCTCCTTTCCCTCCCTTTTCCCCCCTCCCCTCCCAACTTACTCAGGAGATCTTATCTACTGCCCCTTCCCAGTGGAATCCATGTGTGTCCATCTTAGGGTCCTTCTTGTTCCCTAGCTTCTCCGGGGTTGTGGATTGTAGCCTGGTTGTCCTTTTCTTTACGTCCAATATCCACTTATGAGTGAGTGCATACTGTGTTTGTCTTTCTGGGTCTGGGTTACCTCACTCAGGATGGCTTTTTTTTTCTAGTTCCATCCATTTGCCTGCAAATTTCAAGATTAGACCTGTATTCTTATACCCTGCAATGTTCCAAATCTGAGCGAGCTGGTATTTCCTCCCTAATATTTTATTATAAGAATTTCTAACATACAAAGAAGCTGAAAACTGTACATTTAGCTAGGCATGTTTCTTTGCATACTTCTGTCTTAGCCACTGTCAATCTATTGTATTTTTACCCTTTTTTTTGTTAAAATACAGAACGATTCACAAATCAGCAGGCCATCCGTGTTCATATTCGTGTTGCCGAAGTGAACCGCATCCTCTGTTTTTAATATGTTTTAAAGTAAATTACAGATATATGTATCTTCCATATTTATTTCCTTATTGAGAAGTTTTCCCCACCATTTTTGCCAAACAACAAAACAAAACAAAAACTAAGTGATATTATCTGGATTCTTTTCAAAGTGAAACTTACATTCAGAAGTGAGAAACCAGCCCGTACCATCCATACACGTATCCTCTGTGGCTATAAAGGCAGCCTTGCTATTGGCTGGATTCTCCCAAGGATCAGGTACTGCAGAACTGTGGCTTGAGAGCACAAGGGAGGCCTGGAGGCAGGTCTCCACATCCACACACTGACCCTTTGAGGCCCAGGACAGCATCTCCGAGAGGCACAGCTGAGACACAGAATCACCACAATGTCACAGGTCCAAGTCATTCTCTGATGCTGCCTGGGCTTCTGAAAATGGAATCTTTTCCCACAGTTGCTTGTCTGCGTGTGGGCTTCAGGTGGCCTCAACATGCTTACACGTTCCCTCTGCTAAGGAACCAAATCCCCTGTCGTAAGCTCTTCTCCTTGGAGATGGCTCCAGGGTCTCTTAGGGACCTCAACCTTGCTTCTGCTGCACCCCTCATTTCTCTACATTTCTCCAGATTGCTGCTTCTTTCCTCGTCCCCTGCCTCCAATTGTTCAGTGACGCGTTCTGTGGCAAAGACCAGAGAAGGCATCCTAGGCCAGTCTGAAAGGCACTGCTTCTCTGAAGGCGTGCCAACTGCCTTATGTGAAGAAAAGCAGCATTCCACGGGCCAGACAGAAAAGTAATAGACCTTGGAGTGCAAGCATCTCCCTCAGTTTTGTCTTTCAAACACAGTCTGGAGAGTATGTCACAGGAAAGCAAATGCTCTATTTGGTGGCTCTTCTGTGCTGAGAACAGTTACAGAACACAGCATCTGACCGAAGCTTCACTGCACACGGTTATAAACACTGCAGAGATCTGCTAACTAACCCCAGTTAACCCTTGTTGTTGAGGGAGCGGGCCTGCGTCATCATGACTGCACACTTCAGATGGGAAGTTTCGAGAAGAATACCCTGCTGTTCGAGAACTTCTCTGAAATATCAAGCCAGGTGCAGCATCTCTCTGGGGACCAAGGTCCAGGGAAGCCACACTGCAATTTGGTACAGCCAGAGCTCTGTGGCATGAGGTTCTGTTTTCTACAGCGAACGCTGGACCGTATGGTAGCCCAGTTTTATCCAGGTCTTATGCTGTCTCTCTCTTCCCCATTGAGCCAGAGGAAACCCAAGTTGAAAAGTCTCTAAGTAACTTTTGATACCATAAGTGTCTGCATTCGGGGCGGGCAAAGGCCCTGCCAGCTCAGCTGGTTTACATTTTTTTTCAGGCTGTGTTTATAGAAAGGAAAATGTCTGATCTAATTTTTACCAAAGCTGCTTTTCTCTGCTTCCCATGAGACCAAGAGTTAGACGAAGCCAAATAATCAGTCCGGCAAACTCACTGGGCCCTCACCCTGCGTGCTTCGCTTTGCTTCCAAATTTAAGAGGTGGAAAAACCCAAATGTATGTTCATCTGCGGTTTTCATGAGGGGAAAGAGCTGCTGACACCATCCAGATGGGGACCGGGAGGCACTGGCTCCACCCGGGAGCAGGGGAGTGTTCTCAGCAGCAGGACTAGGGATCTCTGCCGGTGTCTGTCAACTCACAATGAATCTGGCTCCCTGGAAGCTTAAGAAATATAAACTATACCTGTGTTGGTTTTTATCGCAGAAGCCATGAGGTAAAGGCATGTCTCCAGTGCACTGTGGCATGGGCAGGGACTCTGCTATTGATCGAGTATGCAGCGCAAAGGCTCATGGGCAGGATGCTTAGGCTCAAGTGTAGCAATGTTGAAGCGACAAGCGTGTCTAAAAGCTGGAGCCTGGTGGAAGGTTAGGGTATGGGGAATAGCAACCCTCGGAAAGGACTGGTTGGTTCTGGCAAGTTGTTAGTCTCAGAAACAAGCTGATGTAAAAGAGCAAGTGTGGTCCCTGACACATCTGGCTTCCTGGTTTATTTGTGATCCCTCCTTCTGTCAAGTAGACTCGCCATGATGCCTCTTCCATATTGCGATGCAGCTATGGACCTCTTGCCTGACTCTCTCTCTCTCTCTCTCTCTCTCTCTCTCTCTCTCTCTCTCTCTCTCTCTCTGTGTGTGTGTGTGTGTGTGTGTGTGTGTGTGTGTTCCAGAAGAAAACTGAAAATCTGCCAGCGTCTATTCTCTTCTACCATGTGGGTTTCAAGTCCTGAACTCAGTCATCAGGCTTGGCACCAAATACCTTTATCCACATGGTACTGCCTCTAATGTTATTTGGTGTTTAGCCTCCTAAATTGCTTGCTGAGCTAAGCAATTATTTTCTTTACAAAGTACTGGCCTCATTCTTTTGTTATAGCAACAGAAAATATGCAAGACAGTCTTCTTTGGGAAGATAACTTCTGGAAAGAAAAGAACCAGCTAGAATGTCAGCATTAGTGTAGATGTGTTTTGTTTCCTTCCTGCCCCGGCTGATCTACCATATTTGACCCTGGAGGTCAATACAGGAGTCCCAGATTGTTACACTTTCTGGTCGTTCTCTAGGAAAGCTGAACTAGTCTGGTATAAATGCTAGGAAGTGGATCTGGAAGCAGCCAAGAGCAAGAAGGCAAGAGGCTGTGTGGCTATAATACCTGAGTGCACCAGGGGTCAATCCCAGGGAAGCCAGCTCTGTGTCCAGTACTCACATCCCACAGCCTATGGCAAACAAAATGAATATGCTGGGTTGCATGCTAAAATGAGTCGAAAGTGGAAGACAGGATAAGAGATAGTTCAGGACAGTTTTCTAGACTAAACGTCCTGTGCAATCCAGACAGTTTCTCTGAGCACGAACAGTTCCAGGCGTGCAGTTTATGGATTGCTTGACACATGACGATGCTGATTTAATTTCATATACATCATCCAGAAACACAGCTGCTCCATCTGCCTCGGCAACTTCGGGCTCAAGAAGATCCAACATTAAAAAAAAATTGAATTTGTTTTTCCTTATTTTTATATGTGGGTATTTTGCTTGCATGCATGTCTATGCATCTCATGGATAGGGTGCCCACAGAGGCCCGAAGAGGGTGTTGGATCCCCTGGGATTGGGGTTACAGACTGTTGTAAATGTCTATGCGGGTGCTAGGAACCAAATCCTAGTCCTCTGGAAGAGCAACCAATGCTTTGTGCATTAAGCCATCTCTCTAGCCCCTATTTATTAAAATAGGGAATGCTTCATATATTTTTACGTCATCCTTGAGCAGGGACCATGCTAAAATCCGTATCATTCTGATTTCAGCATATGTGCTGCTGAGTTGAGAACACTTTTTTTTTTGTCATGGTATAGCCTTGTGTATCTCTGTGTGGGTATGTACATGTGAGTGTAGTACCTATAGAGGCTAGAAGAGGGTATGGGATCCCTTGGAGCTGGAGCTACAGGTGGTTGTGAGCCTCCCAGTGTGGGCACTGGGGACTGAACTCAGGTCCTCTGCAAGAGCAGTGTGTGTGTGTGTGTGTGTGTGTGTGTGTGTGTGTGTGTGTGTTCTCTTAACTGCTGAGTCAGCTCTCCAGCCCCAAGATCCAGCTCTTGAATGGAAGTCAAACTTCAACTGTTTGGGAGTTTAAAAACCTGTGACTTTTAACATTTTGTGGATCCTCATCATAAAAAACAGGCAACCCCTTTATTCTAGATTGGCAAGTTTAAAGATGTTCAACACAAAGTAGGTCCCCAGATGCACATTCAAAATTAGTGTATTTGATCATCTCAGCTAGAATTACTTTATTTCTATCCAGAACCCCCCAGGAGAGTCTGTTACCTCTTTCTCTTTTTAAGGCATGATTTCACGACATAGCTTATGCTGGCTTTGAACTCATGATCCTCTTGCCTCGGCCTCTTGAATGTAGGGATTTCAGGAATAGCTACAACAAGGAGGGACAACTTTGAAATAAATACATTAGAGTGTATAACCCAAGTAAATATTAGACCGGAGAGCATCTTCTATTCAAATGAAGTCACTTTGGCTCATGGCATTTTTAAAGTCCCTACAGAGTGCAGTCTTTGAGGATGCTCTCTCTGCTCGCTTTGCGTGAGAAGATCCCTTTTTGATAAAGAAGTGACAAACGGAGCTCTTTCCCTTTGTAAGCTCCCACCACAGAGCTCACTATCACAGAGGCCTCCTGCCTTTCGTCCCTTCTTAGCCAGCAGATGGGCTTCGTTTAGCTCTTCTCTTCAGAATGCTCGCCATGCGTTCATTTTGAAGCAGCAGCAGACACCTGAGACAACAGGATGAGTTCCAGTCCACATCCTGTTGGCCGTTGCTACCACCTAACATTTTTCTTCTCCTTCCTTGGATCTGCCTTCTGTCTGGCACCTTCTCACCCTGCTGTTCATGCCCATCTAAAACGGTCAGTGAATCACAGGGCAACTTCATCTTCAAACAAAGCTTCAAACAAACCAGAAAAATATTTTCTACGTACTTTATAAAGTGGATGTGGGATGGATAATGATGCATTCATTCTTAGCCTAAAAAATGAGTCCATTTTTTTGGGCATTAGCTGTTGATGCTATTATATGATACACAGTAGGCGTCCTTCATTTTACATTCAAAGACAGGAAGACAAAGAGAGATATTTTTGCAAAATCCTATCCAAGAGTTTCATCGGTTTCCTGAGGGCCTTTCTTCTACCTTTGATATTCAAATCACCTTTCTTTGAAGAGCCTTTTGTGTCCTGTCAATTTTCTCTCCTTTTCTGGTAACTGCTACAGTTTTTGCCAGATTCTTCTTAGTGAATGGATTTACGAGAGAGAGGGAGAGAGAGAGAGAGAGAGAGAGAGAGAGAGAGAGAGAGAGAGAGAGAAAGATCAGCTCTTTAACTTTACTGCCTGCCTCACCCAAGTACCCGTGTTCCGCTTTATCTTTCTGTGTATTTCCAGCACTGGAGGATCAGCAGGACCAGAGGGAAGATGAAGTGGTTCCCAGGAAAGGGCTGGTCTAATAATGGCAGAGTATTTACACAGGGACACCTTGTATAAAAGGGGGGTGGGGCTCACCAGTCAACATTAAGCTGTGACAACTTTTGTTTCCCAAGCACTAACATTGGAGATTAGCTATCGGACACTGGAGCAAGCGCCTCTGCTGTCCCAGAGAGCAGTTATACCTTCCGCGACCTTCTGCGTGGTCCAGCCAGGATGGAGATGCGAGTTGAGAGGAGCCAGCAGGGAGTTCCTAGGCACTCAGCGGAGAGGAGTGTGCTGAAACATAGAGCCAGGAAAACCCTTGGAAGATTCTAAAGGGGATTCTGAGGGGGTACTTATCGAGACTAGTTTGCCCTCCATGACCATGCTCAATCCTGAGATAAGATAGCTATTCAGGTCTGAGTCTTCAAGCGACAATAAGTATGTAGCAAGAGGCAGATGGGCAAGAAAAAGCACAACACATGGATTGAAATATAGTTTTATGTGACGGCGGAGTCTTCAGAAGCAACCCCATGGCTCACGGAAAGCTGCTCGCTTGCTTTTATGTTTAGTCTTTATAAAGGCCGGATAGCTGCATAGACATTCAACTGGACAAAAGGAATCAGATTGCTTGTAGAAAAACAGACGGTAGGAAACCAGTAGAGAAAGAGGGGTTCCTGCTTTGGAGCCTCTTCACTTTAGCTCAGCATGCCAAGGCGAGATACTTTGGGTACCATTTTTTTGAGCTCCAGTATTCTGACCCCCAGTGTTGCCGCACTCCCAGCTTTATGAACTGCTGGGATTGAAGGCCATTTTCTCAGTGACACGATGGAAGGATGGAAGCAGTGCCCTTTTCTAAGTGTGTCCTGGACTGGGGCGGCATGGGGAGCAGGGAGATAGAGCAGCAGCACTAAGACAGAGCAGAGAAGGTGGTCTGGGGGCACCGGGCACCGTCCCCAGTCTCCAAGTTAGCCTCAGGGATTCCTACCTTCTGATGTTCATGCCTTTGAGGAATCCCACCCAGAGTGGGTGCTGGGTTCAGTACAGACTTCTAGTGGACAGCTACGATGAAACAGGATGCCTGTGACAGCTTTGTGGCTATGACAAACCCCTGACAGAAAATTGATTTTTTTATTTTATTTTTAAAATTTTATTGATTTTTCTTGAGCTCTACATTTTTCTCTGCTCTCCTCCTTTCCTCTCCTCTGCCCCTCAACCCTCTCCCAAGGTCCCCATGCTCCCAATTTACTCAGGAGATCTTGTTTTTTTCTACTTCCCATGTAGATTAGATCTATGTATGTCTCTCTTAGGGTTCTCAAGTATTGTGATTTGTAGGCTGGCTTTTTTTGCTTTATGTTTAAAGACCACTTACAAGTGAGTACATGTGATAATTGTCTTTCTGTGTCTGGGTTACTTAACTCAAGATGATGTTTTCTAGCTCCATCTATTTGACTGTAAAATTCAAGATGTTATTTTTTTTCTGCTGTGTAGTACTCCATTTTGTAAATGCACCACATTTTCCTTATCCATTCTTTGGTCAAGGGGCATTTAGGTTGTTTCCAGGTCCTGGCTATGACAAACAATGCGGCTATGAACATAGTTGAGCACATGTCCTTATGGCACGATTGAGCATCGTTTGGATATATACCCAAAAGTGGTATTACTGAGTCTTGAGGAAGGTTGTTTCCTAATTTTCTGAGAAATCGCCACACTGACATCCAAAGGGGTTATAACAGCGTGCACACCCACTAGCAATGCAGAAGTCTTCCCTTTACCCCACATCCTCTCCAGCCTAAGTTGTCATCAGTGTTTTTGATCTTGGCCATTCTTACAGGTGTAAGATTGGAATCTCAGAGTTGTTTTGATTTGCATTTCTCTGAATGACAGGAAGCTTAAAGGAAGGAAGAAGATATACTTTGTCTCATGATGTTGGTGGAGCCTACTTTGCTGGCTCTGTTGTTTCTGGGCCTGAGGTGAGACACAAAAATCATTGCAGCAGAGTAGGATGGTGGCTGTTCGTCTCCTAGCAACTGGGAAGGTGACAAAAGAGCAGAAGGAGAGAGGAAGAGAGTGAAGGAAGAGGGACACATACACACACACACACACACACACACACACACACACACACACACACAGTTGGATCAAGTGTCCCCCACATGATTATGTCCCCAGTAACCTACTTCCTAAAACAGACCCTACTTATCCACTGCCTCCCCAGATGCCAACAAATTATGGCTCTATCAATATCAATGGATTAATCTACCAGGTAAGAACCAAGCCTTCAATACCCAAGCCTTTGGGAGATAGATTTTATATTCAAATCATAACAAGATGTCATTTCTTTCTTTTTTTTAAATTTTTTTTTTTGAGACAGAGTTTATCTGTGTAGCCCCGGCCTGCCTAGAACATGCTCTGTAGACCAGGCTGGCCCCAAACACAAAGATCTGACTGCCTCTGCCTCCCAAGTGCTGGGATTAAAGGCGTGTACCACCACTGCTTGACTGCGGGACCTCATTTCTAAGAGGTTAAGATAGAAGCGCTTGCAGCTTCCATCATGGGAACGCCCACTACGACCCTATCCATCCACGGCATACCTCCAGTCCAAACACCTGTCTCCTGAGAGTCCCTGAGACAGACCATACTGCAATTCTTGGCCCCCAGACATTGGGGAGACAAAATGTGTTTTTTTTTTTTTGTTTTAAGATATAGTATCGTGGTATAGATCATTATACATTAATAGGTGATTTATATGGCAAAGTATTAATATGGGGCCATTTTTTGATTTCTGAGGACAGTGAGAGTGAAAGACCCCAAATGTCAGGGGGTCTCACTTGGAGCCCTCTGTCCAAGAACCAGGCCACTGGATGCAAGAGCAAGAGGCAGTTTATTGAATACACAGACGCCTGCGGATGCTTCAGCAGCGTAGCTGACTGAGCATGCCGGGCTGAAGGCACATTATGTATTTATAGGGATTTAAGAGTTAAATAAGAGGCTGTATAGCAACAAGCATTTCATTGGTTCCCAAATTGGTGGGCTTAGCTCACTCCGGGAATGGCCCCGTGTCTATTCTCGAATTTCCCCGAAAAACCACAAAGCTAGATAGAGAACCCTGCAGCAAGTTGACAGTTTCGATAGAATGCCTCGGGGGTAGGGCACTCCCTCTCCTCAGCCTAGTCAGCGAGTCTGCAACCAATAGATAGCCTGTTTTAGCATCGGCTGGGCCAGGGGAACTTTCCTTCTATGGCCCAAATAAATTTCACAGAGTCATTAGCTGAGCCTGGGGGCTTTCTTTCTATGGCTCAGTTAAGTTTCAGCAGAGTTTAACATAGTATGTGGACATGGGGGTCTTTCAAGTATGGGGGGGCTTTCA